TGGAGTAGATATCGAAGGGGGACATTTTTTCGACCTAGGATGTCCTAAAATTCCTACATGTCTCTGTAACCTTGATAAAGAATAATTGTCTTTGTTACTTTTATTAAATTACTGGTATGTATCTAATGAGATTCATCAAGGTAATTTTAATTTTCCATACCATCTATTGGTTGAACTGTGAGAGCTATTCAACCTACATATTCTTCTCTATCTTTGTGCCTATGAATACTGATGTAGGATATTAGGATACAGATTTACTTTGTTGAGTGCCACATCATGGGAGGGTACCTCCACTAATGCAACTGTTTTGCTTAAATTGTTAAGACTTTACCCAAATGCTACTTTTATTATATATTCATATCACAATTTATGTAATATACAGTACAGTGGACCCTCAGGTAACGATATTAATCCGTTCCTGAGAGCTCATCGTTAGCTGAAATTATCGTTAGCTGAATTAATTTTCCCCATAAGAAATAATGGAAATCAAATTAATCCGTGCAAGACACCCCAAAGTATGAAAAAAACAAAAAATTTTACCACATGAAATATTAATTTTAATACACACAAACTGACACTTACCTTTATTGAAGATCTGGTGATGACTGATGGGATGGGAGGAGGGGAGAGTGTGGAAGTTGCTAATGTTTAGAAGGGGAATCCCCTTCCATTAGGACTTGAGGTATCAAGTCTTTTTCCGGGGTTACTTCCCTTCTTCTTTTAATGCCACTATAACCAGCTTGAAAGTCACTGGACCTCTGTCACACAACATATCTGTCCATAGAGGACTGTACCTCCCGTTTCTTTAAGACTTTCCTAAAATGGGCCATAACATTGTCATTGTAATAGTCACCAGCACGGCTTGCAATAGCTGTGTGAGGGTGATTTTCATCCATAAAGGTTTGCACTTCAACCCATACTGCACACATTTCCTTAATCTCTTTTTTCATATCCATAGTAATTCTCACCCTTTTTCCTGCAGGGTTGGCACTAGAAGCTTTCTTGGGGCCCATGGTGACTTATTTTGCAGGTGCAATCACTAAAAACACTGTGATAATATGAAATGTTGTGATTGTATGCGTGGATGCAACCGCACTGGCTAGCTTGTAAACACTGGCGCGCTCAGGCCACACTGGACACATCTCAAACGAATCGCATAGGGTGAGTTTTTTAGCGTTAGCTGAGGTAAAATTTTTGCGTTAAAATGTATCGTTAGCTGGATTTAACGTTAGGTGATGCCATCGTTAGCTGAGGGTCCACTGTACTTTTATAACTTAACTTGCTGTCTTATTTATCCCTCTTATTTATCTTAAAATACTTGAGCATGCTTGAACTGCACAAAGGTTCTTAGTAGCATTTATGATCCTTGTATCAGTCTCACACTATGTAAAAATGCAATGCACATAAAGGGCCCGAAGATCTGGAAAACACTACCTGAACCGGTAAAGGATCTCCTGATTACTAATAAATTTAGGACTTTGCTTAAAAATCATCTCATCTCTCAATACTAACCAAAACAACTTCTAATCAGTTGAAGCGACTCTCCCAAATATTATATTGCATGACCTCTAGTCTATTAAAACATCTGCCAATCCATGAAATATTACTGTTTGAACCATTAATTGTAATACATATTGTTTTTATGTGCAACTTCAAGATTATTATTCTTATAAACCTCCACCTTGACTACTTTGCATTAGTATTAAGGTTAAATAAAGATTTTAATACAAGTTAACCACTCTTATCTTGTCTAGATTTAAGTAGTTATTATGTACTAGGACTAATCTGCCCAAAATATCTAGGTATGATGGTAGCTTTCTTTGTACTTAGCAAACCAAAATTGTAATTACACACTGTAACCTTTACAAAGAAAAAAACTCTATCTTTAGACACTGTTTCATCTGCCATCTGTTAAATATCACTCAGAGCACAGGCTGCCTACTACATTACATTACATATTAGTATCAAGTTTTCAGTCTTATTTATTGTGTGGTTTAGGTAGGCATTATGACTTGCTAACAAGTCAGTAGTTGTACCAAGCATAACATGGGGTATATTGTCTGAAGGACTATGTAATAACTTCAATTTAACATACATGTGTATTTAATCATTGGGGTCTTAATGCACCTCACCCTGTATCTATCTGTTTGACCAGGTATTTTGTGATCAGGTTTACTGGTCTTTATAAAAATTCAAACTTGTCTTCAGGTGAGAACTAAACTATCCTGGTAATTTCTAATACTACAAAATTTTAGTTTTTCATTCAAAACATAGTCTAGCAGTTAGGCTAAGGAGAAGTTACAGTGGTACCTTGGGTTGCGAACTTAATTCATTCCAGAAGGCTGTTTGACTACCAATACTGAACGAATTTGTTTCCATAAGAAATAATGTAAATTAGATTAATCCGTTTCAGACCCCAAAACATACACTTACAAAAGCTCTTACAAAAATACACTTACATAACTGTGAGTTGGGAGCTGTTCGTAACCCGAGGTACCACTGTACAGTGGACCCCCGCATAACGATGGCATCACATAGCGATTATTTCGCATACCGCTTACTTTAATCGCAAAATTTTTGCCGCGCATACCGATTAAAAACCCGCTCACCGATTTTCGTCCGAGACGCGTCCAATGTGCGCCCTCAGCCAGCCTCACATGTGCTGCCCGTGCCATTGTTTACCAGCCAGCCTCCGCGCTAACATCCAAGCATACACTCGGAATATTTCGTATTATTACAGTGTTTTCGGTGCTGTTTCTGGAAAATAAGTGACCATGGGCCCCAAGAAAGCTTCTAGTGCCAAACGTAAAACCAAATAAGGGTAAAAAATACCCATTGAAATGAAGAAAGAGATCATTGATAAGTATGAAAGTGGAGTGCGTATCGCCGACTTAGTCAAGTTGTACAAGAAACCCCAATCAACCATCGCTACTATTTGTGGGCACCAAAAGACAATCAAGGAAGCTGTTCTTGCCAAAGGTTTAAACTGTGTTTTCGAAACAAAGATCGAAAGTGAGGGAAGATGTCGAGAGACTCTTATTGGTGTGGATAAATGAAAACAGCTAGCGGGAGATAGCGTCTCTCAACGATCATATGTGAAAAGGCTGGGAAGTTGCATGAGGATTTAATAAAAAATGCCTGCAACTAGTGATGATGTGAGTGAATTTAAGGCCAGCAAAGGTTGGTTTGAGAGATTTAAGAAGCGTAGTGGCATCCATAGTGTGATAAGGCATGGTGAGGCTGCCAGTTTGGACCACAAAGCGGCTGAAAAATATGTGCAGGAATTTAAGGAGTACATAGAAACTGAAGGACGAAACCGAACAAGTGTTTTAATTGTGATGAAACAGGCCTGTTTTTTGGAAGAAAATGCCAAGCAGGACCTACATTACTCAGGAGGAAAAGGCACTCCCCGGACATAAGCCTATGAAAGACCGGCTTACTCTTCTCATGTGTGCCAATGCTACTGGTGATTGCAAAGTGAAGCCTTTATTAGTGTATCACTCTGAAACCCCCCCAGAGCGTTCAGGCAAAAGAATGTCCTCAAGGATAATTTGTGTGTGCTGTGGAGGGCAAACAGTAGGCATGGGTCACTAGGGAATTTTTCTATAACTGGTTACACCATGCATTTGCCCCCAATGTGAAGATTACCTAACTGAAAAGAAATTAGAACTTAAGTGCCTCCTGGTGTTAGACAATGCCCCTGGTCATCCTACAGACGTTTGGCAGAGCGACTTTATGGGACATGAGCTTCATTAAGGTGAAGTTTTTGCCTCCTAATACCACTCCCTCCTGCAGCCCATGGACCAGCAGGTTATTTCCAACTTCAAAAAACTGTACACAAAAGCTCTGTTTGAAAGGTGCTTTGTAATGACCTCAGAAACTCAACTGACTCTAAGAGAGTTTTGGAGAGATCACTTTAATAAACCTCAATTGTGTAAACCTTATAGGTAAGGCTTGGGAGGAAGTGACTAAGAGGACCTTGAACCTGCTTGGAAGAAACTGTGGCCAGAATGTGTAGACAAAAGGGATTTTGAAGGGTTGAGGCTAACCCTGAGAATCCTGTGCCCGTTGAGGAATCCATTGTGGCATTGGGAAAGTCCTTGGGGTTGGAGGTTAGTGGGGAGGATGTGGAAGAGTTGGTGGAGGAGGACAATGAAGAACAACCCCCTGATGAGCTATAGATCAACTTCAAGAGCAAGAGGCCAGACCTGGGGAAACTGGTTCAGAGGAGGGGAGAGAGAAATTGAAGAAGTTTCCTACTACAAAGATAAAGGAAATCTGTGCAAAGTGGCTTTAAGTGCAACCTCATGGATGAAAATCACCCTCCACAGCTATTGCAAGCCGTGTTGGCAACCTGTACACTGACAATGTTGTGAAACACTTTTGGGAAGTGATAAAGGGAAAGAGAGTACAGGCCACTATGGACAGATATCTTGTGCGAAAGAAGTCCAGTGACTCTGAAGCTGGCCCTAGTGGCATTAAAAGAAGAAGGGGAAGTAACCCCAGAAAAGGACTTGCTACCTCAAGTCCTAATGGAAGGGGATTCCCCTTCTAAACAGTAAGAAGATAATGCCCCCTCCCCTCCTCCCATCCCATCAATCATCACCAGATCTTCAATAAAAGTAAGTGTCATGTAAGTGTGCATGCCTTTTTCAGTTTGTGTGTATTAAAATTAATATTTCATGTGGTAAAAAAAATTTTTTTTTCATACTTTTGGGTGTCTTGCACGGATTAATTTTATTTCCATTATTTCTTATGGGGAAAATTCATTCACATAACGATTATTTCGCATAACAATTACCCCTCTTGCACGGATTAAAATCGTTAACCGGGGGTCCACTGTATATGGCATTTAACCTCTAGAAAAACCTTGTTAGTAACATTTGCACACAGAATATATTTCACGTATGGACACAACTTACAAAACCCCAGACTAGGAAACAATGACTACTTCACAGATGTTTACAAGATAATACTGGAAATGAAGGAGACTGCCCCACCTCGACTGCATAATGAAGTACTTTCGCAGCTGGATGAAGCCGCAGCTCCTGTAGGGGTGTTATTCTGGGCTTGCCCCATCCAGACTTGTCACTGTAATATATTTTTAGCATGTGGTCCGTAAAGTTGCGGCCAAATACTAAATCCTTCACTGCTGGTTTGCTCTTCAGTTGATCAGGAGGACAGAAATCAATGTGAAGCTCTGAGGCCTGAAAATAAATACACAGTGTAAGAAGTTTTGAAAACAATGTGTGCAATTAAAGTTACAATTAAATGTCTACATTTTTTCTATTACTGTAGAAAGTCAAAAAATTAGTACAAATGATAATTCCCCCTGCTAGCCCATTATACAGGCAAACCTCGCTAATACAGCATTTTAGAGAGCTTTGCTAATATGATGCTTTTCAATCATGTTCATGTTTATTTTTTGTGGTGATGTTCAAATCAGCTGAGCGGCACCATTTTCTTACCCCTCACTCAGTCTGTTTACAGCATATGTGCACTCCATGTCTCTGTCATATCCTGGCAATTTTCAAAATTTTCAAACTCTTTTACTTGTGTTATTGTTATTATCATTGTTATTAATGACAGTACAGCAGGTCCTTATGGTACCCTGCTTGTCACAGTCGCCCACTGTTAGTTAGTTACCATTTGGTCCTAGGCACATGTCGATTAGACAATAGGCCTGTTGTATGTGCATGTGTACTCACCTATTTGTGGTTGCAGAGGTCGAATCATAGCTCCTGGCCCCATGTGTGTATGTGTATGTGTATGTGTGTATGTGTGTATGTGTGTGTGTGTGTGTGTGTGTGTGTGTGTGTGTGTGTGTGTGTGTGTGTGTGTGTGTGTTGTGTGTGTGTGTGTGTGTGTGTACTCACCTAGTTGTACTCACCTAGTTGAGGTTGCGGGGGTCGAGTCCGAGCTCCTGGCCTCGCCTCTTCACTGATCGCTACTAGGTCACTCTCCCTGAGCCGTGAGCTTTATCATACCTCTGCTTAAAGCTATGTATGGATCCTGCCTCCACTACATCGCTTCCCAAACTATTCCACTTACTGACTACTCTGTGGCTGAAGAAATACTTCCTAACATCCCTGTGATTCATCTGTGTCTTCAGCTTCCAACTGTGTCCCCTTGTTACTGTGTCCAATCTCTGGAACATCCTGTCTTTGTCCACCTTGTCAATTCCTCTCAGTGTTTTGTATGTCGTTATCATGTCCCCCCTATCTCTCCTGTCCTCCAGTGTCGTCAGGTTGATTTCCCTTAACCTCTCATCGTAGGACATACCTCTTAGCTCTGGGACTAGTCTTGTTGCAAACCTTTGCACTTTCTCTAGTTTCTTCACGTGCTTGGCTAGGTGTGGGTTCCAAACTGGTGCCGCATACTCCAATATGGGCCTAACGTACACGGTGTACAGGGTCCTGAATGATTCCTTATTAAGATGTCGGAATGCTGTTCTGAGGTTTGCTAGGCGCCCATATGCTGCAGCAGTTATTTGGTTGATGTGCGCTTCAGGAGATGTGCCTGGTGTTATACTCACCCCAAGATCTTTTTCCTTGAGTGAGGTTTGTAGTCTCTGACCCCCTAGACTGTACTCCGTCTGGGCCTTCTTTGCCCTTCCCCAATCTTCATGGCTTTGCACTTGGTGGGATTGAACTCCAGGAGCCAATTGCTGGACCAGGTCTGCAGCCTGTCCAGATCCCTTTGTAGTTCTGCCTGGTCTTCGATCGAGTGAATTCTTCTCATCAACTTCACGTCATCTGCAAACAGGGACACCTCAGAGTCTATTCCTTCCGTCATGTCGTTCACAAATACCAGAAACAGCACTGGTCCTAGGACTGACCCCTGCGGGACCCCACTGGTCACAGGTGCCCACTCTGACACCTCGCCACGTACCATGACTCGCTGCTGTCTTCCTGACAAGTATTCCCTGATCCATTGTAGTGCCTTCCCTGTTATCCCTGCTTGGTCCTCCAGTTTTTGCACCAATCTCTTGTGTGGAACTGTGTCAAACGCCTTCTTGCAGTCCAAGAAAATGCAATCCACCCACCCCTCTCTCTCTTGTCTTACTGCTGTCACCATGTCATAGAACTCCAGTAGGTTTGTGACACAGGATTTCCCGTCCCTGAAGCCATGTTGGCTGCTGTTGATGAGATCGTTCCTTTCTAGGTGTTCCACCACTCTTCTCCTGATAATCTTCTCCATGATTTTGCATACTATACATGTCAGTGACACTGGTCTGTAGTTTAATGCTTCATGTCTGTCTCCTTTTTTAAAGATTGGGACTACATTTGCTGTCTTCCATGCCTCAGGCAATCTCCCTGTTTCGATAGATGTATTGAATATTGTTGTTAGGGGTACACATAGCGCCTCTGCTCCCTCTCTCAATACCCATGGGAGATGTTATCTGGCCCCATTGCCTTTGAGGTATCTAGCTCACTCAGAAGCCTCTTCACTTCTTCCTCGGTTGTGTGCACTGTGTCCAGCACTTGTGGTGTGCCCCACCTCTCCGTCTTTCTGGAGTCCCTTCTGTCTCCTCTGTGAACACTTCTTTGAATCTCTTGTTGAGTTCTTCACATACTTCACGGTCATTTCTTGTTGTCTCTCCTCCTTCCTTCCTTAGCCTGATTACCTGGTCCTTGACTGTTGTTTTCCTCCTGATGTGGCTGTACAACAGTTTCGGGTCAGATTTGGCTTTCGCTGCTATGTCATTTTCATATTGTCTTTGGGCCTCCCTTCTTATCTGTGCATATTCGTTTCTGGCTCTACGACTGTTCTCCTTATTCTCCTGGGTCCTTTGCCTTCTATATTTCTTCCATTCCCTAGCACACTTGGTTTTTGCCTCCCTGCACCTTTGGGTAAACCATGGGCTCATCCTGGCTTTTTCATTATTCCTGTTACCCTTGGTACAAACCTCTCCTCAGCCTCCTTGCATTTTGTTGCTACATATTCCATCATCTCATTAACTGGCTTCCCTGCCAGTTCTCTGTCCCAATGAACCTCGTTCAGGTAGTTCCTCATTCCTGTGTAGTCCCCTTTCTTGTAGTTTGGCTTCATTCGTCCTGGCCTTCCTGCTTCTCCCTCCACTTGTAGCTCTACTGTGTATTCGAAGCTTAAAACCACATGGTCACTGGCCCCAAGGGGTCTTTCATATGTGATGTCCTCGATATCTGCACTACTCAAGGTGAATACTAAGTCCAGCCTTGCTGGTTCATCCTCTCCTCTCTCTCTTGTAGTGTCCCTTACGTGTTGGCACATGAAGTTTTCCAGTACCACTCCATCATCTTAGCCCTCCATGTATCTTGGCACCCCATGTGGGGTGTGTGTGTGTGTGTGTGTGTGTGTGTGTGTACTCACCTAATTGTACTCACCTAATTGTGGTTGCAGGGGTCGAGACTCAGCTCCTGGCCCCGCCTCTTCACTGATCGCTACTGGGTCCTCTCTCTCTCTGCTTCCTGAGCTTTGTCATACCTCTTCTTAAAACTATGTATGGTTCCTGCCTCCACTACTTCACTTGCTAGGCTATTCCACTTGCTGACAACTCTATGACTGAAGAAATACTTCCTAACGTCCCTGTGACTCGTCTGAGTCTTCAGCTTCCAGTTGTGACCCCTTGTCCCTGTGTCCCCTCTCTGGAACATCCTATCTCTGTCCACCTTGTCTATTCCCCGCAGTATCTTGTATGTCGTTATCATGTCTCCCCTGACCCTTCTGTCCTCCAGTGTCGTCAGTCCGATTTCCCTTAACCTTTCCTTGTACGACATTCCCTTGAGCTCTCTGACTAGCCTTGTTGCAAACCTTTGTACTTTCTCTAGCTTCTTGACGTGCTTGACCAGGTGTGGGTTCCAGACTGGTGCTGCATACTCCAGTATGGGCCTAACATACACAGTGTACAGTGTCTTGAACGATTCCTTATTAAGGTATTGGAACGCTATTCTCAGGTTTGCCAGGCGCCCGTATGCTGCAGCAGTTATTTGGTTGATGTGTGCCTCCGGTGATGTGCTCAGTGTTATGGTCACCCCAAGGTCTTTCTCCCTGAGTGAGGTCTGTAGTCTTTGTCCACCTAGCCTATACTCTGTCTGCGGTCTTCTTTGCCCCTCCCCAATCTTCATGACTTTGTATTTGGCTGGATTGAATTCGAGAAGCCAGTTACTGGACCACATGTCCAGCCTGTCCAGATCTCTTTGCAGTCCTGCCTCATCCTCGTCCGATTTAATTCTTCTCATCAACTTCACGTCATCTGTGAACAGGGACACTTCAGTGTGTGTGTGTGTGTGTGTGTGTGTGTGTGTGTGTGTGTGTGTGTGTGTGTGTGTGTGTGTGTGTGTGTGTGTGTGTGTGTGTATATTCACCTAGTTGTGGTTGCAGGGGTCAAGGCATAGCTCCTGGCCCTGCCTCTTCACTGGCCGCTACTGGGTCACTCTCCCTGCATTATGAGCTTTATCATACCTCTGCTTAAAGCTATTCAATTCAATTCAATTCAATTCAAAGTTTATTCTCTATAAGGATTACAATGCTGAGTTTACAGAATTTGGTTATTGTGTGGTTTACATGTAGTAAAATAATGATTACAGAGTGTACCACTAGAACACCTAGCATGGCTAGGCATTTTGGGCAGGCTTAGTTTAATTCTTATGTATGGATCCTGCCTCCACTACATCACTTCCCAAACTATTCCACTTCCTGACTACTCTGTGGCTGAAGAAATACTTCCTAACATCCCTGTGATTCATCAGTGTCTTCAACTTCTAACTGTGTCCCCTTGTTGCTGTGTCCCATCTTGGGAACATTCTATCTCTGTCCACCTTGTCAATTTTTCTCAGTATTTTATATGTCGTTATCATGTCCCCTTATCTCTCCTGTCCTCCAGTGTCGTAGGTCAATTTCCCTTAACCTCTCCTCGTAGGACATACCCCTTAGCTCTGGAATTAGTCTTGTTGCAAACCTTTACACTTTCTCTAGTTTCTTTACGTGCATGGCTAGATGTGGGTTCCAAACTGGTGCCACATACTCCAATATGGGCCTAACGTAAAGAGTGTACAGGGTCCTGAACGATTCCATATTAAGATGGCGGAATGCTGTTCTTAGGTTTGCTAGGCACCCATATGCTGCAGCAGTTATTTGGTTGATGTGCGCCTCAGGAGATGTGCCTCGTGTTATACTCAACCCAAGATCTTTTTCCTTGAGTGAGGTTTGTAGTCTGTAGCCCCCT